GGGATGGTAGACTTCCGCCCCCAAATGATAATTTGGAGGTTTTCCTCCTCCATGAGGCAGATCTCTGGGTAAGGTCACACTCAGGAACTTCTTCCTGAAATCAGTTCTGGCAGATTCTTCTTCTGGCTCCTTCTCAAATAGACGATGTCCAGGCTGAAACCAAGGATAGGTTCTCCTGATCACCACTTGCCACTGCGCTGCAGACCTCTTGGTACAGTGCCTGAAGAACATCAGGTACTCATCAATTGACCTCTTGGGAACTTCCGCCGACAACAATGGTTGAGCCAGAACCTGATCTGAACCATCCAGGAAAATAGACCTGCAACCAGATCTGAACCATCCAGAAGGCACCAGGGGCAGACAGATTTAGTGGATACTCTAGGGTGGCAGTATGCAGGTTCTTGAATAGATGAGCCAGAACTGTAGGCCCGAGCCCAACGTCAGTATGATTATGCAAAGCTTCTGCCAGATGCCTATATTCAAGCAGAACTGTAGAAGAACGATTGGGCAGAATAAACCTGTTCAGCCAATACAGAAGAAACAGCATGTGCTGCTGGTCTTTGTCCTTCTCAGCACTGAATTTTCTGAGATAATTGGAGAAGGAGCAATTCTGGTTGATCAGGGCTGGAGAAATAATGAACGGCTTGGCTAGCTTCTGCTGATCTTTCTTCCTGTGATAATCACCAACAGCATCAACAGGCCTTCCATGAGGTCTAAAACCAAAAATCTGAGCCATATCCAGCAGAGTTGGAGCCATGGGGCCTATGCGAAAGTCAAAAGTGTTACTGGCAGAATTCCAGAAACAAAAGGCAGCAGCAAGCAGGTTCTCATCTCTGTTGATAGATTGCCTGGACAGAAGTGTGGCATCATAAATTCCAGCCCGTTTCCAGTGAGCCCCAAATTGGGGAAGAAGCCTGTCAATCCAATCAGCCCACTTGACTGGACTGTTTCTCACTTCACTAGATGGGAACGAACGGCTCAAATTCTTGCTAACCCAAGAATGAGAAGCCAGAGCAGAAGAACTCTCAAAACATAGAGGGGCCTCAGCATCCTTCTTCATCAGCTCCGCCATCTCGGGAGGAACGGGACCAAACTAGTGAGGCCCCAGCACCAAGGTGTTTTCAAACAAATGGAGGACATTTTCGTCTAGGTTCTTCTGGGCAAAAGGATGGAGCTTGCTCCTAACCTCTATCGCATGCTTATCAATCCCAGCCCCAGTAATGTAATCTGGAGGGACTGGAACAGAGGAAGACTGAGCACAAGACTTCGGGGAAGACATTTCTCGGAGTATCTTTCTAAAAAAGAGGTCGACAGGACGGACAAGGCAGGATCGAGCGAAAAGGAGTTATCGAAAGAAAGAAAGAAAGCTCAAGAGGAATGGAGTCTGAAAAAACTAGGTTTTCAGGTGAACAGAAACAGAGGGTTTTTTTGAAATTCTTTTAAAGAAGCCAGAAAACGTGGGAATGAGAAGACAGTGACGTGGAGAAGACAAAGTGTCACCTGATATTGACTAGCTAATAAAGAGCTAATAACTGAAAACTGCCTCACACGGGCACTAGCTTAGTGGGAAGAGTGGCAGACGTGAGGTAACGGAGAAATTGATCACGCGCCAATTTAATGGCCATGTCATTTAAGTCTGAAACCGTTCTAAAACGATTCAGACTTAAAGGAGCATTGTTTGGGCCTAAAAATTGATACACCCAGCCCAACGAAAACGAGGCCCAGAATAGAAGCTGCAGAAAATCAAAGAAAAATGGAAGCCCAAAAAACCAGAAGAGCCCAGCCCAAAACTTATCAAACAAAACGAGGCTAATCTGGGCCTCACAGGCCCGATATGATAAGGGGGGGAGAGCCCAGAAACAGGAACAATCCCACGTGATATCTCTGGGATAAAGAAAAGTCAACAATAGCAACTGCCATAGAAGAAGCGATTGAAAAGATTATGACATCAAGCTGTTCTGAAAAGCCTGAAAACTCTGAAGATCAAATCCCTCTCACATCAGAGAAGGATAAGCAGGAAAGCAGGGGGCTGTCCAGAAAAAAAGTCAAACTAACCATCACGAGTGAAATCCCACAAGGGGCAGTTGAAATTGGGAAAGAGATTAAGTTCTTTTTTCAAGAAAGACAGGGAAGTGATTGCCTATTTTAGAGCCTATCTGCCAAAACTGATGAAATCCTATTTTCTTTCTTTCCATTAAAAAAGGGAAAAAGGGGGGACATCTTTTTGCCGCCCAAATATTGAACAAAAATCACCCTACTCCAGAAAAACATTTTTACTATAAACAAAAGGGGGGGGATATCTTTTTGCCGCCCAAATATTGAACAAAAATCACCCTACTCCAGAAAAACATTTTTACTATAAATAACAAGAAGGAGTGAACAGGGTAGACAAAACAAAAAATTCATCATCCAATGAAACAAAATCCTACGCAAGGAAACCATCAGTCAAATAGACA